GTGGGCTCCTCAAGGGGAGCCTGATGTGGGATCGATCCCAGAATACCGGGATCACGTCCTGAGCCGAAGGCAGATGCTCACTACTGAGCCATCCAGGCATCCCAAATCTTTTTCTATACACTAATAATAAATAATGTAAAAGAAAAATTAAGAAAAAATCCCACTTATGGTTGTATCAAAAAGAATAAAATACCTAGAAATAGAAGTGAAAGAAACACTATGAAAACTATAAGGTGCTGATGAAAGAAATTAAAGATGACACAAATAGATGATATTCTGTGCTGTAGGATTAGAAGACTTAATGTTGTTAAAAAGTACATACTTCTCAAAGCAACCTATAGATTCAATGCAATCCCTATCAAAACACCAGTGGCATTTTCCATGGAATTAGAATACATAATCCTAAAATTTGTACGGAACCACAAAAGACCTGAACACAATCTTAGAAAAAGAAGAACAAAGCTGGAGGTATCACTCTTGTATTTCAGGTTATACTCTAAAGCTATAGTAACCAAAGCAATATGGTACTGGCACAAAAACAGACACAAGATCAATGGAATAGAATAAGGGCCCAGAAATAAACCCATGCTTTTTTTTTTTTAAACCCATGTTTATATGTCAATTAGTTGACCCTTGAACAATGAGGGGCTTAGGGGCACCGACCCCCCTGCCAGCACAACTTCTGACTCCTCCAAAACTTAACTCCTAATAGCCTACTATTGACTGAAAGCCCATAAACAGCTGATTGACACATATTTTGTATATGTATTATATATTGTATCCCCATAATAAGTAAGTCACAGAAAAGAAAATATTAAGGAAATCATAAGGAAAATACATACATTTACAGTATTACTATATTTATCAGTACCACAAATTTATGTTATCTGTTTACAAGACTAATCATTTGTCATTACTAACATCAATACTGTCTTATACAAAACACCATAAAGGTTACATACTAACACTAAACACCAAAAGTGAAAAGATAATATAAAAAACAAATTCATATTTATTTATAGGTATAATGATCCATGTGTTGATTACAAAGCAGCAGCAATATCATTGCTTTATTTACTAGCAATAAATACTAGTAAATACCTATTTACTAGCAGCCTAGCATAAATAATAAAATAATATGATGGTGTCACAGTGCCCTAGCCTGTACACCAGTGAATGAAGGGCATTGCAAAATACATAGGGCTTAGAGTATTACAGTCATATTCATAACACAGTATTGGAAACACGGACTTTTTTTTTTTTAAAAACCACTTACCTTGATAATAGGCTGATAGTTTCTCCAATTATTTTTTTTTAATTTTTTTTTTTCATGATAGTCACAGAGAGAGAGGCAGAGACACAGGCAGAGGGAGAAGCAGGCTCCATGCACCGGGAGCCCGACGTGGGATTCGATCCCGGGTCTCCAGGATCGCGCCCCGGGCCAAAGGCAGGCGCCAAACCGCTGCGCCACCCAGGGACCCCAGTTTCTCCAACTATAAGAGGCATACTGCACAGTAATTCTTCAAAAAGTTATAAAATAGCAATAATGTCAATTTTATATTAAATAGCACTCACTTTATGCCTATGTAAGGACAGGCTATCTACTACTTCCACGGGTTTTGCACATGACATCCTACCTTACAAATACTTAGGTGATGACGATGAAGACACACAAACTTATCAGTTTTTGCCATACAGTTAGATTTTCACACGGAGACACTCATACACCACAGATAAGTTTATTAACTGTGCAGGATTATTTTTATTCATTAAATGGATCATCATAAAGGTCTTCATCCTCATCGTCTTCATGCTGAGTAGGAAGAGGAGGGGCTGGTCTTGCAGAGAGACACTGGGGCAGCAAAAGAGGAGGTGGAGAAGGTGGAGGGGAGACAGGACAGGTAGGCGCTCTAGTGTAACTTCAGTGAAAAACATAATTTCTGTCCTTTTTGTTTTTTCATTTTTCTTAAAGTGTTTCTATATAGTGCCAGTTTTCTTCCACCCTCTGCTTTCTTTTTTCAATGCTCATATCATAGAGAGGTCCATGTAGTTAAAGAGATCAAAAGCAATCTTAAAGAATCAGAACCCTTCTGCCTGTCTAATGTCAATTTATTTTCTGGAACTGCTTCTTCTATGTCTTCATCATGCATTGGTTCAGAAGCGCTTATCTACACAAGTCATCTTCAGTTAATTCCTCTGGTGTGGTGTCTATTAAGTTTGTGGATTTCTCCAAAAACTGTATCTTGAAAGTCTACATCCCCCACCATTTTTTTTTCCATGTCCACAATCTCTTTTTTTTAAATTTATTTTTCTTTTTTTCTTTTTTTTCACAATCTCTTTCATCCTTGATTTGCTCTGTTGTACATCCTGTGAAGTTATGCGTAACATCTGGACATGGTTTTCTCCAGCAAGAACTTGTTTAGTGCTGGATAGCTTTCACGGTTTTTTCTCTAACAAAGCCATCTTCGATGGTAAAATCCTATTAGACTTTCATGATGTTCTATCAGGGTTCTCTTGCACGGCACTGACAATCCTTTCCATCGAGACTGTGTGTAATAAGCCTTAAAGGTCATTATGGATCCCTGATCAAGAGACTGAATTAGGGACATTGTGTCAGGAGGCAAGTAGAGTGCTTCAAAAAACTCATGAGGTTCTGGATGGCCAGGGGCAAAAATAAACAAATGGAACTACATCAAAATAAACTTTCGTACAGCAAAGGAAACCATAAAAAACAAAAACAAAAAACAAAACAAATGAATAGGAGATACTTGCAAACGACCTATCCAATAAAGGGTTAATATCCAAACTATATAAAGAGCTCTCACAACTCAACACCAAAAATAATCTGATTAAAATGAGCAGAGGACCTGCACAGACATTTTTCCAAAGAAGACATACAGATGCTCAACAGACACACGAAAAGATGCTCAACATCACTTGTCATCAGGGAACTGCAAATTAAAATCACAAAATTAATCCTCACATTTTGGTGAGGATGTGAACAAAAGGAAGAAAAGGGAACCCTTGTAAATTGTTGATGGGAATGTCAATTGAGGCAGCCAATATGGAAAAGAATGCGAAGGCTCCTCAAAAAATTAAAAATACAACTACCGTGTGATGCAGCAAATCCACTTCTGAATATTTATTGGAGAAAACAAAAACACGAATTCAAAGATATATGCACCCTTACCTTATTGCAGCACTATTTACAATAGCCAAAACATGGAAGCAACCTAAGTGTCTATCAATTGATGGATGGGCAAAGGTGTGGTAGACAATGAAATATCATTTACCTATAAAAATGAAATCTTAGGGATGCCTAGGTGGCTCATTGGTGGTGTCTGCTTCGCCTCAGGTTGTGATCCCAGGGTTCCAGGATTGAGTCCCACATCAGGGTCCCTGCAGGGAGCCTGCTTCTCCATCTATGTCTCTGCTTCACTATGTATGTCTCTCATGAATAAATCTTTAAAAAATAAAATAAATGAAATCTTGCCATTGGTGACAACCTGGACAGACCTAAAGGGTATTACACCAAGTGAAAGTCAGAAAGGGAAAGACAAATTCCATAGGATTTCACTTATATGTGTAATCTAAAAAAAGAAAATAAAACAGAAGCAAACTTACAAATAATAATAGAGAACAAACTGGTGGTTGCCCCAGGGGCAGAGGGATAGGGGGGTGGATGAAATAGGTGAAGGGGATTAAGAGGTATAAACTTCAAGTCATAAAATAAATCATAGAGATGAAAAGTACAGTTATATAAGGAATATAGTCAATAATATTGTAATAATGCTGCATGGTGAGAGGTGGTGACTACACTTACCACGGTGAGCACTTGTGCAATCACTCCACTGTACACCTGAAACTTATGTCAACTGCACTTCAATTTAAGAAAGGACTTTAAAAAAAAGAGGTAATTGAGGATTTAAATCACTAAAAAATTCATTCCGTTTTGCCAATGTACCATAATATGTGCATCATTATACTTAGGGATAGTACCTACCAAGACAATGAGTAAAAAAGATCCCGGGGATAATGTGACATATAAATGATATAATGAAAAAAATTAAATTGGTGGGCGGGAAGGGGTAACAGTAATATACAGATGAATTGCTGAGCTACAAGGAGAAATGGTTTCTTTCCAATGCAGTATATTCTCGACCTTAACATTAAAAATAAGCATGAGGGGATTAGGGCATAAGTCAACAAGAAGGCTTATTAAGTTTTCTACGTTAAGGAAAACATGAAGAGTATTTGTTTTTAAGTGTCATGGACCCGAAGACACATTTTTAAGAAAATTACTGACAAAATAAAGAGCAACTAAAGAGAAAACTAGAAAAGAATATTTTAATTTGAAGATTTTATAGGAGTACTCAGTAAGGCATGGATCGGAACGAATTCTATTCCTCTTTTTAAAAAAGATTTATTTATTAGAGAGAGAGAGAATGCAGCAGGGAAGGGCAAAGAGGGAGAAAGAGTCACAAGCAGACTCCACACTGAACATGGAACCCAACCTAGGACTTGATCTCACTACCATGGCAATATTACCTTCAGTCTAGGGCTTTTTGCTGCTGAACCTATGGAAATAGGGGACAGATTAATGAGAGTAAGGTATATAGTATGAGCTGGTCCCGTCTATATTTAAAAAGTCCTACTAGCTGCCTTTTATTAGTACTTTAGTATATTAATCACTTGAATTTCAAATGTTTTATAAATGTTACTATTTTAGAAGCACTTTAAAGATAAGAATAAACCTGTACTTAGTACCTTCTCAGAAAGCATTCACACTAACATTTTAATTTGACAAAAAGCATATGATGTGGATGGAACAAAGGGGACCATTGTTGGGGTCCTTTCGTAGCCATAACCAGAGGGCTGGGACCAAAGACACCCCAGACGAAATGCTAATTTTAACCACAGTACTTAGGGAAAAAAAAAAAAAGAGAGAGAGAGAGAGAGAGAGAGGGAAAGAACAAAAGAATACAACTTAGCGGAAGTACTCATTTTTATAAAAATGTGTTTTATTTTAAAACAGGTCTATAAAAGTAGAAATCACATACAAAAATACAGATCACTCTGACATGTTAGCAAAATAGCTTATGGCTGGACTTGAGTTTGGAAGTACTGTACATTTGAGGGCATCTGGAAATCACAGCCCAGTTGGGTATTATCATCAGCCCTTGTCTCTAATCTGTAAACAATAATTTCATGTAGTATATGTAGCACTTTTTAATCAGTACAAAATCAAAACATAATTATTTCCTGCATAAGACCACTTTAAAATGTTCCTCCTTAGGTTTGGGCAGATTAAGGACACTTCGAATTGTTGTTTCTGACATTTGAAGAATCTGATTTAAAAACAATTAATAGAAATAACAGGTTTTAGCTTTTTTGTTCATTTTGAACACATGGGAAGATCAATTTAAATTAAAAAATTAGTGTTTTGTTTTAAAGTAGAATTTAATCCTTTTTCTTCTAGACATTATTAAAAAAAAAAAAAAAAAAGCACTGTTGCTATCAAAAGATTCCACACCTGAGTCTTAACCTTGATGTCATTTCAAGTTGTCTCACTGCTTAGAAACTGCATGGAACTCACACCCTACTTCTAATGTGTATTTCTGAGTGAATGAACATGTAGTTCTTGGGCAACTCCAGGTCCGGTAACTTTAGAAAATAATGACTTTCAATTATTGTGGGGGACATTTTTTTTAAAAAGGCAATTGAAAATACTTGATTCCAGAGTAATATAAAAATAACTTCAAGAACTTGGACAATAAAGGAAAAATGGCAGGCAACTTCAGTTTGGCATTCCATCCAACATTTCAAGAATAAAGACTGACCGGCTACTAGCATCTGTCTGAAACAAAGCGAGCCATTTTAAAAGCGAAAGAACCCATGTTAACGTCATTTGATCACAAAGTTAGAAGACCACAATTATATTTCCTCAGCTAATTCGGAATTCTGCGAGCACAGGACATTATGGAAACTTCACTGATGTGCATGAGAAGATACTTCAGATTGACCTGTCATAGAAAACTGCCTCTTGAGCTTTCAAATTCTATACCAATTCTTCACCTCTGATCGGTCAGTCATTTGTCATTTAGTGTGAATTGCCCAGAGCTATTTGTTTCCATGAACCTAATTTCATATCTACAGGCAAAGCTGAAATGCATATTTTTCTATCTCCAGAAGAGGTTGCCACAAATGCTACTATCCTATGATTCTCCTTTTGTTCCGTTCACAACACAAACACTTCTAGCAGTCTATGTCTCATAAAGCAATACTGAAAAATTAAATAGAAGTCACCATATAGATTGTGAGAACGATTTGCTGGTGGTGATTCTTACGCTTGATTCTAAATAGATTTAATAAGAAGGGCACTTGAAAGAGGTGGCTCAAATCTTGCTGCTTAAGGCATCCTGAAATTACAGGCTCTCCTAAAATTCCCAAAAGCCTTAAACTTAGGCTTCTAAGTGTACAAAGCAGTGACCGAAGCTTTTCTGGTTATTTAGAAAAAGCAAAACTTCATAGTCTTCTCTCTCAAATGGCTGTCTAACATACTTGCAGAATGAAGGCAAAGGGAAAACCAAGAATAAAAACAGCTGAGTGCTCCAGCAAGCGGGCTTCCTGCCTATTTTCCCTGTTCCAAAGAAAAGAGGAGACACCATCTTGCGATAAATACTTCATAGACAACTGGGCTTTTGCAGTGTCAGCCGGCATCGGATGCCCCATATCTCCTGGTTCTTTTTGTTGCCGGTGGTCGGCCTGGCGATGGTGGTGAAATGAGAACCATTAATCTGCAGATGAGGAAGGGCTTCTTTTAACAGTTGAAGGGTACCGTCTGGCACGATTCCAAAAACTTGTAGTGTTTTTAGTGTGGGGATTTCTCCAAGTTCACTGGAAAGGAAGAGAGACTTCTCAGAATAGCAGTATCTATGGTAACTGATCCACCAGAGTTACATGACCCAATTTTTACCATTTGTTTCATATTCTACAAAATGCAAACTGAAAACATAATTTGCAATCAATGATTTGAGAAAATAGAATAGATGAATCAAACCAGAAAGCACAGACCTTTCTGTGCTCAGATAACATGGCCCCAGGACCCACGCAGGCACATTTTGTTAAATGTTTTCTCACAACCTAAAAATGCTGAGATTTCTTTAAAATCCAACCATAGTTGCTTCCTTTTTCTATTCTCTCCCTCTCTCTCTTTCTTTTTTTAAGATTTATTTATTCAGGAGAGACACACACAGAGAGAGAGGCAGAGACACAGGCAGAGGGAGAAACAGGCTCCATGCAGGGAGCCCGACGTGGGACTCGATCCCGGGACTGACAGGAGTTCAAGTGTCGTGAGAAGCTGGGAGCTAGTGATGGCAAAGAATCACCACAGGTTACATGTAATTTCAAAATATGGACTTGACCTTTATTTGAACCAGGCTCTTTCAAAAGAGGAGCAACAGAAGTTAAAGTAACTTCTTAGTAGGTCCATTACCTGTGATAACACCTAACAGTGACTTTGCTATGGTATTTAGGACAGGGCTGCATAGGTGGGTGCAGATGGGAGTAGTTGGGCACAGATGGAGAAAAGGAGTCATTAGTCACACCTTTTCTATGAGAGGCAAAAGCCATCTGACTTCTTTACATAATTTTTATTTTTTTTGGTCAGATATATGACAATCCTCTTCTTAGCTATTTCCCATTAAGTGAAATACAACTCTGTCAACAGAGAAATTCTGGTCCACAAAAAAGAGAGCCTGATTCCCCAAAGCAAATACTTTTAGGTAATGATTCTTTCTTCTTAGCTCAGATCTATGTGCTTAGGAATTCATCTCTCTGATCTGTATTTGCTCCAGGTTGGGACACACAGTACAAAGTCTTAGGAAAGGGAATATTTAGTTTGGAATATCAACAAAATCCCACTACAGATCAATGAACACATCAATGACCTAGAGTTAGAAGCATCCTTTATATTTTCATATTGCCGATTAATTACTAAAAAAAAAAAACAAACTTTCCTCACAGTAACTGTAACCTGGCCTCCAATATTTTCTTCCTTCCAGCCTATTCTATGTACCTATGTTCAAGGCATCTTCCTAAAGCCTAGCTTCAGATTATGTCACCCCCCACCCCCTCCACCCACCCAAGCCTTTGATGCTGTCCTCTTGTTTACGGAACTCAAACCGTTCAGCTGGCCTTAGGACTTTCCATGTTTTCAATCTGCTCTCCCAGTCACCCCATTACCCTCTAAATGGATTTATTCTACATTCAACAAGTGTATTAAACACCACAGAGGCTAATAAATGTTAGCTGAATAAAGATGGAGGGTAATTTAGAAAATAAAAGTACTACCTAAGTAAAACAAATATGCTTGGTGTTCATAAAAGGACAGCAACAAGATCTGGAAGTTACAACAGACAAAAAAGAAAATCAGGAAGAACAAAGCACTTTCCTTCTTAAAGTAAAGTAACCTCTGGAATATAGACACGGGAAGGCAGAGAAGGTCACAGCACATAGATGTTTATACTCACCATCACCTGACAGCAATTCTGCTTAAATCCTCTTACGTGAAATCTGAGTATTTGAGAACTTTGTAGTAAGAATTTGGGTGCTGGGACATCCGAATTAGCCCAATTATAAGTCATCCTACAGTGGACAGTATTAGAAGCAGAAAATGTAGGTGGGAGGAAGGGAAGGAGGTACAGCAGACGGCAGGAGAGGAAACGTTCTTGCCAACGGCCTGGGAAGGAGCCTGGCTGGGAGTAAGGAAATGGTGTCCTAGGTGACAAAGGAGTGAGCTGCATAGCATAGGATGGTCTTCTAAAATTTTAAGGGGACTAAAACATTAAAAACACTGATATCAAACCCCTTAGTACATGCGTCATCTATAACACAGCGGAACCCATGTGATAAGCATCTCTTTAGACTGAAAAGCAACCAAAGGACAGGAAATGGAAATGAACAGTTGAAGAGCCATTATTTCCAATTTAAGAAGCATACGAGGACTCTGGTAATGTCTTGTGTATCTTTGTTCCCTCTTAGAAAAGAGAAGATTTCACCGGTTCACACCTTACCCCTCAACTACATAATCCTGTTTTCCTTATAAAATCAAGTAAATGCCTGACTTCAAATTCTCCTACCGCAGACTTTTTCTTTAGTCTCTCCTAATCTCAGGTCAGTTTACAATCTCCAGTGTGGCTTTCTTACTTGAATGAGAAATACGGAATAATCAGAAGAAAATTTGGACACAAGAAATAAGATCAATTCAGGCTGAAGGGAATACATACAATGCGGGCATATCCTGAGGAAGAAAAACCTACAGTTTCCCAAGATCATTATAGAAAAAAGGCACTCAAATTTTATTCTCCCACTTCTGAGATAATAAATAAAAATTCTTCAGCATAAGTGGCTTTCTCAAAATTACTATTGACAATCCTAGAATTCTTACTATGAATTTTGAGTACATCAGCTACCAGAATGAAAGTAGAGAAAATAACACTTTATAAACTTCTAAGGATAAGGTACAGGCAAAGTCATCCTAATGGATTCATAAGGTTAACCAGTATATTGTTTACATAATGCCCGAAGAAGCATACTCTTTTACCTTAAAGTATAAAGAGAGCATCTTTTTTTCCTCTCTGTTCTCATTCTTTTTTGCAACTAAACTCCTGATACCTGGTTCTTATTTCAAGACAAGGTTTGGATAAGTCACAAGGCAGTGAAGGTTCAAACCTAGGTCCGTGCTCTTAACCATCAATTCACACTGCCTGCAGGCAGGACTAGGCAAGTGTTACTATCCTACTGGATAAAAATATTAAACTGTGAGAGCTCACCACCTTCCCCTAGCCTCTGCCTAAGAAAAGGCATTTGGGGATTACCTGCTTAGCTTCTTTCCCTGGAGAGAAAGCACAAAAGTGAAACATGTGCATAGAGTCTCTTGTGACAAGCAACCAAAGAAGACTGATCGCTGTCATCCCCAGGAGCTGCATGGGCAACGCAGCTGAAGCCCAAATGGCAAAGACAGGGGGGACGGATGACAGAGATGTCTCTCTAGGTGGATGCCAGAGGCTCTCAGGAGTTCTGGATACCAGAGGCTGCAAGACGTTAATAAAGGCTCCATGTATACGAATTTATACCCTACCATCAAAGAGCCATGGAAGTAAACACTGCCATCCCTTTTAGACAGTGCTTTTTCAAATGAGATATCAGCTGGCACCCGGAGCCCAAGATTGATTATAGTGATTTATTAAAAACATAATTATCGGATTATCTAATACTACCAGTTAACCCTGTAGAGCTGAAGTATCTGATCTATTAATTGAAACTAACTTAGAAGATCCACACCAATCATTCGAGGATTACATAAATTCTTTGTCCAAATTCACCACCCTCCTTTAGTACGAACCAGTAGCCAAACTACCTTTGTCTGGATAGTGAGCTACATGAGGGCAGCAGCCTCAGTCAGGGCATCCGGACTGGAAAAATATAAGAAAGAAGGGCACCTGACCAAATGCAAGATACTGACTTCCGGTGGTTTTTAATAAAATTGTTATGCATTTACATCCTACATGAGGATGGATTTTCCAGCCCTTTGGGGATAAAAGAAACTTTTAAAAAATAAATAGTGTTATTCCTAGAATGACTTCACAATAGCACTTTCTCAAAGAGAGACAGACTAGACTCTTTTTTTTCTTTGCACTTCCTTGACTTTTGTGCAAGTTGCTGAGCAGGTACAAGATTAACCCCCTTAAGAACTGCTGGATTAGCTACAGACTATCTTCATTAGTCCAGAAAACCTAGGATGCAGACCTAGCTCAGCCATTAACTTACTTTACAGCTTCAGGTTAAGTCACTTCATTCTTTTAGACTTCAATTCTCCTCCTATTCCAAGATAGCACTGGACTCATGACATTTACTGTTGACACGATGCCATTCTTCCAATTCTTTGACCACCGTCCAGGACAGACATCACTAGTAAAACTTTCCTCTATGCCCAGAGGGAGCCTTTCAGAATCAGCTGGAGTTGATTTGAAAAATGTGGGGGTGGGGGGAGGAATGCCCCCACTGGGTCTGCTTCCCAGTTATACTCGGAGCTCCCTGGAAGTTAAAAATGGTCTTCTCTTTTTGCAAGACTTCCAGATACCAGAATACTATATTCTAATATTTAAACCTGCTTCTAGCTAAATAACACATGTTTATAGTAAACTATCCTAGTCAACTTTCCAAGATATTTTAAGCACAAAATTTTGCTTTGGTTTTTCTGTCTTGCTGGACTTCCCTAGCCTATTTGTGGTACACCACAAATATCGAATATTGTTGTTCAAGTTTTAAACATCTGCTATTAATAGTAACAGCTATTAACACCAAGTAACATCTCTTTTGTTCCCCATCTTTTCCTACTTTTAGAAAATGAAATACTTACAGTAAAGTTTCAGGTATTATATCATAGCACCGACTGAGTGACAGATGTTGGAGGTAGTTAAGCTGGTAAAATTCCGGAAAGCAGTCATTCTTCAGCATGACACTATCGCTGTAACAGAGCAGAAGGGAAGATTCAAAACCCATCCATCAGTTCAGATGGAGAAAACAGAAATAACCAACTGCCTGGTTCCTTCCATTCAACATGCTAAGATCCTTTCCTCCTTCAGTGAGCAGTCATGATTTTTCAATTTTTGTTTTAAAATAAATAAACAAAAAATACCTTAAGTCTAGATGCACAAGATTGGGACATCTTCCAACTAAGGTAGAGACATCTACAGGAAAAAATGATGGTCATTATTAAAATGAGGAACAAGATAAGGATATCTGCTATCAACACTATCATTTAACTTTGTGCTCGAAGCTTGAAAAATGAAGGCGATTGAAGTCACACTATTGGAAAGAAGACACAAAATCATCATCTTGGCATATAAGATTTTGAACCCAGAAAATCCCAGAGAAACAACTGGAAATCGTAAGAGAACTACGTAATAAGGTAGGTTAATAACCATGTATATCTATGTATCTGCAATACCTAGCTGGGGAAAAAAGAAAAAAAAAAACCCATTCACATTAGCAAAATGCAAAACCAAACACCACCATCTATAAATAAGCAAAGTATTATAAAGGTAGCACTTAAAATCAATATGGGGGGGGAAATCATGGATTGTTTTTAAAAAATAACATTGCTACTATGAGCAGAAAAAAACCTATTTCTCCAACTCAAATAATATATCCAAATAAATTCCACACATATTAAAAAGTCCTAACTGCAAAAATATGGGTGATTATTCACTGGATCTTGGGATAACTAAGAATTTTCTAAACACAAGAAAACATAAAGGAAAACACTAATAATTTACTACATAGAAACATTAAATCTACCCTGTTAAAGCAAAACAAAACACAAACAAAATTTAAGTATCAGAAAACTGGGAATGTTTCCAACATACATTAAACAGAGTCAATGGTCTTATATGAAGAGTAAAGAAAAACAGAAAATGAGCAAAGAATGTGAAACAATACTTGGCCAAACAGAGAAAAATGGAGCAAGAAAAATAAAGTAAAATTAAACTACTGCTTTTCAGCCATCAAATGAAAAAAAATTCCATCATAATACCCAGATTAGATTAAATATAATAAAGCAGGTCCCACATATACTACGAGTGAATATTTAATTATAAGCAGACTTTCAGGAGAGCAAACTGATTTTTTTTTAGGGGGAACGGATTTTTTTGTGTGTTCTGAGATTACACACTTGACTCTTTGGCTCAGTAATTCCACTTTTAGAGAAACAACTAGGTGTGTATGAAGATATTCATTTTAGCAATAGTTATAATAGCCCTTCCCCCAATTATTTTAATTCGTTAACCTCCATCCATTCTGTGGAACACAATGCCAACAGTGGTCACTCAAGAGCTTTTAAATTAACATTTCACAACATGAAAAAGTAAGATATATTGTGTAGTGAAAAACAAAATACACACAATCACTATAATCTCAATTTAGTAAAAACACACTCAAAAACTCATACTTGCACACAAATTCACAGAGAGAAAAAGGTTCATGGCGTGGTGGTCAGGGGGGAAGGCTGGAAGGAAATACACCCAAGGGTGGTGGGATTACAGGTAACTCCAGAATTTGGAAGAGAGTTCCATGTGCTACTTTGCCATCAGAAAATGAATCAACAGGGGCACCTGGGTGGCTCAGCTGGCTCAGGATCTGGCTCTTGATTTTGGCTCAGGTCATGATCTCAGTATTTTGAGTTCAAACCTGCCTGCCTGCCCAACCGCCTCACCTCCAGCACCAGGTTCTGTTCTAGGTCTGGAGCCTGCTTAGGATTCTTCTCTGCCTTTCTTCTGTACCCCTTCCACTTGAGCCCCCTCTCGAAAGAAAAGGAAAAGGAAAAGGAAAAGGAAAAGGAAAAGGAAAAGAGAAAAGAAAAGAGAAAAGAGAAAAGAAAAGAAAGAAAATGAATCAATAAATGTTATTTGTTTTAAAAAATAAACAAGCTTCATTCACGGTTGGGGTTTTTCCTTTCCACAGTTCTGTCTTCAGCCCCATCCCCTCCCCTGAATCCTAGACTTGCATTTTATTTTATTTTAAAAGATTTTATTTATTTATTCATGAGAGACACAGAGAGAGGCAGAGACATAGGCAGAGGGACAAGCAGGCTCCCTGTGGGGAGCCCAATGCAGGACTCGAGCCCAAGACCCCGGGATCACGCCCTGAGCCGAAGGCAGATGCTCAGCCGCTGAACCACCCAGGCACCCCTAGACTTGCATTTTAAACTGTCTCCTCAACACACCCACTGGGAGGTGGGACAGACATCCAAAATTCAGCCTAAAAGCAAGTACTTCATTTGTCCTCTAAATCTGGTCCTTCCCGAATGCCTTCCCTGGCTCCGAGAAAGTGCTCATGTCACAGATCCAGCGGCTGAGGCTGAAGCCTGGGAGTCATACCCAACTGTTCTCTCACATCCCACATCCAGTCTGTTGGCTTTTTAATGTCTGATCACTTCTTACCATGCCCAATGTCACCACCCAAGTCTTTTTATAGCCTTTTCTCAACACAGCACTAGAAGATGACTTTTAATTTATTTTTTTAAAGATCTTATTTATTCATGAGACACAGAAAGAGGGAGGGGCAGAGACACAGGCAGAGGGAGAAGCAGGCTCCATGCAGGGAGCCCAACACGGGACTCGATCCCAGGTCTTCAGGATCACACCCTGGGCTGAAGGTGGCGCTAAACCACTGAGCCACCTGGGCTGCCCTGGAAGACAACTTTTAAAGGTGACTTAAATCATGTCATTTCCTGCTCAACATGCTACATCTCACTCAAAAAAAATCTGAACAAAGCTTCTGTTCGGCTTAGAGAACCCCGGGCTAGCTTACCTCCCATCACTGTCCTCCTCGTTCCCTCTCACTCTGGCTCCCATGTCAAAGCCTTTGCACTGGCTGGTTCCAGTTCCAGAATGTTCTTTATCTATATACCTCTTATAATTATCTATATACCTCACACCTTCATTCAATCAGGCCTGTGCTCAAGTGACACTTCCCGGGACAGGCCCTCTGGCCAGTTCTCTGTCTGGTCACTCTGTTCCATTTCCCCTCCCCGCATTTCACCTCCTCTCCTCACTTTTAGCTATTTGTTGACTGTCTGGCCTTCCCACCAGAATGTAAGCCGTGCAGGGGTGACTTCAGCAGTTCTGTTCAAGGCCACAGTTCCCAAGTCGGGAACAGGGCTCTGTGCATCATAGGTGCTCAATAAACATTTGTTTAATGAGTGGCTAAAAAAATGAAGGCATGCACAGTACAATTTTGAGTGACCTGTCACCTAGCCAGCCAACCGGCCATCAACAAAATCCCAAACTGGACACAATCTCGTTTCGATGCCATGTAGGAAAGAATAAAACCCTGGCAGGTAGGACTGGTTAGTCTCCCCGGCATCCCTCGGTGGGAAGGGTCAGGAAATGGTCATCGCTGCTAAGATTCCCTCTACCCACCGCCCCCTTCGTTTCCACGTGCTGGAGAGCCACCTGAGCCAGCAGGCATCTGACAAAGCCCCAAATCTAACCTGTCATTTTCAGTGAGAGGCAATTTCTTCTAGAGAAGTCAAGGTCAAATCCAAGACCAGGAGCTGGGTGCTCCAACACTCAAGGGCAGTGCTACCCAACTGCCCCATGGTGGTGGCAAAGTAACAGCCCACAACCACTGCACCCTCATCAGGGTTAACGCGCTCCATGGGATTAACCCATTTCTTCCTTAGACTCTAAGAGATGCCTTCCTCTACTATCTCTGTTTTACTGATGAGGAAACTGAGGAACAGTGAAGTTTAGCAACTTGCTCAGGACTACCCAGCAAACAGCACAGCAGGAACTTGAACCCGGAAGGACCGGCACCAATCTAGATGCCCGTTCTAGAGCTAAGATGACGTTCGTATCACCTTCGGAATAGTGAAGTAGTGGGTGCCACTGTTAAAGACATTTAAAAAAAATCTGATTCCCACTGTAATACTATGAAAACACACACTTCAACTTAAACTCCAGACCTTTGTCCTTGGCCCGAATGTGTCTAGCAAGCAGGATTTTATTACCTATTATTCTTGCCAGAACTTGGTAAAAAGACTCTCTATTCTTTTCTGGAGGAACAAAGAGAAGGGTTTTAAGCCAAACTTGGACAAATTAACAGCAGCCTACCTACAGCAGAGTTTCTCAACCTTGCACCCAGAACCTTGCTGCATTCAGAAAAACTCTAAATAAAGAAACAGGAAATTCAGATACGGAAAGGAAATGTAAATGAGGCACTGCCTTTTCTTGGCTTGGGGACGAACAGGGGAGAACTGGTGGTGGTGGTGGTGGGACTCCATGTGGAAGGCTGCTTGCTGGTGGGAGTTTAAAATCCTTGGAAGGCAATTTGGCAAGAACAACCCAGAGCTTCAGAACAGAGCCTCATCCTTGACTCAGCAATTCCACTTTTAAGAATCCACCCTTAGAAATGCACTCCATTTGTCTCTGTCCATGACAGGGTTGTTTATAAAAGGAAAAAAACTGTAAAGACTCTGAAAGTCCACTAAAAGGAGACCAAGTGAAGAAATTATTATTAAATCAATATAAATTATTCCACCTCTGTATTATGGAATATCACACAGCCACTGAAAATGATGTGATGTAGCTACTAAAAATGGGATTATCTGGGGGAGAAAAAAGCAGCATATTAAAAAGTATTTCATGCACTATGGCCCACTTTTAAAAGCACTTTTTTTTTAAAATAAAGTTTTTATTTATTTATTCATGAGAGACATACAGAGGCAGAGATACAGGCAGAGGGAGAAGCAGGCTCCCTGAGGGGAGCTTGATGCGGGACTTGATCCCAGGACCCCTGGATCACACCCTGGGCCGAAGGCAGATGCTCACCACTGAGCCACCCAGGCGTCCCTTTAAAAGCACTTTTATGCAGGAAAAAGACCAGCAGGACGTTACTGAGATTACTGATGATTTTATTTTCTTGGTGCTTTCCCATAATATGTATTTTTAAGAATGACTATAGAATACCACAATCAGATTTAAAATAGTGTTCAAAGGGAAAAAATATAAATATTGCATGTATGGTAGAGCAGGAAGAGAGATGCACTGTTCCTTTCACAGATGTCTAAAGAGAATATTCCCCTCTGAGAAGATGCAGGCATCCAGGCTCAAGCCCAGGCAAAGGACTGAACACGCTGGCCACTCTGAAGAACCTAGCTCCTCTTCTCCGTAGCCTGATAAACACATCTCGTCCTAGAGAGGCAGTTTCCAAATACTACTTAAATTCTAAGAAGACACACTCTGAAAATGTGTGGCTCAAATCTTTCAAAGTATAATAAAAACTATAAAAACAAAATACTCTTATGAGTCAACACCAAGGCCCGAAGACACAGCTGAGGCGTGCTGCTAGCTTAATGAGGCTCTGGGGAGCCCACAGCCTGAGATCGCATGGGGAAGCCGTTACAAAACCAAACCAAACCAAGCCATTGGCAAACACTGACCTCTGCCAATCACGATTCTGCCAATAAGACAATTAAAACAAAGCATAACTGAACACTGAGGCTCTTAACTGTCACACATGACCCCTAGCTTCAAACCCCGTGTTCAACCAAACTGCCTCACTGTCCTCGTAGACTCAACAAACAAAGAGCTATAGATACGAACTTATAAGCAGAGTTTGTAACAGGGTTTTTCAACCTTGGCACTACTGACATTTTGGATCAGATTATCGTTTTGTGTTATTCTGCTGTCCGGGGCATTGCTTACCAGCATTCCTGGCTTCTGCCCACTAGATGCCAGTAGCACCCCCGCGGCCGTGGCAGCCAAAAATGTCTGCAGACCCCCCCCCCCCCCCTCCCTGCCAATGTCCACTGGCAGGAAAACTGCCTCTGATTGAGAATCACTGCTCAACCCTAATCAAACACTGCATTCAACTATTTTATTTTATCTCTAACAATTTAGCTGATTAAAAAAAGTTCTCTTTAAAAATAAATTGGAATAAATAAATAGATAAATAGATAGATAGATAGGTAGGTGGTTTAGGGCAGCCTGGGTGGCTCAGTGGTTTGGCGCCACCTTCAGCCCAGGGTGTGATCCCGGGGTCCAGGACGGAGTCCCACATCGGGTTCCCTGTAAGGAACCTGCTACTCCCTCTGCCTGTGTCTCTGTCCCACACCCACATCCCCCGCCCTCTCTCTCTCTGTTTCTCATGAATAAATAAAATCTAAATGGATAGATAGATAGATAGATAGATAGACAGACAGACAGATAGATAGATTTAAAGTATAAAGGTTTCCACCTCCAGATTCTGGACTCAGGTCTTGATGCTACCTCACCAGCTTTCTACCTTTACCTAACCTTTCTGATCCGCTGCTACCTCATCTGAACAATGGGGCTAAGAACATGAACTGGATTAAATGAGACGAGTGATGCAGGGCAGGACTTAGGGGCTCTTCAATAAATCAGACCTACTATTGGCGTGGTTGCCACAGAGGGCCCAGTGCCTGGACAGGCTCACCTGATCTCTGGAGATTCTTTCGATAGCCGCTGAGATTCAGCTGGGTGATGGTCTCTGACACATGCGCCACAGCCACCTGCACGTGCTTTTCAGTGAAGTCATAACACCAGGAGAGGTTCAGCTCATCCAATCTGCAGGCCAGAGGAGAAAGAAGAAAGTATGAAACCATGACACAGGGATGAATCCTAGCAGCACTGTCTCAAGCTGCAGGGAGAACACAAAGCCACAGGTTCCTTACCATCTCATGCAGAGAACCCCTGCTTCTCTCAGCAACTACCTTTGCTCACCTGAGCTGCCTTTTCCCCTCCTGACACACTCTCCTGCCCTGGTTTGCCCCAGAGAGTTGCCAGGGGATCTGAGCCAAAGTCTTAGTGAGTGATGCCCCCTTCTGGAAATGGAGGGAACACTCTCCTCTCCTCCTGATGGCTCAAACCTCATTACAAGACTCAATGGGGCAGTTCTAGCCTGTTTTCTTTCTGAGCCACCCAGGTTGTTGGCAAACAACCACAGAGACTGAACAGTCATTCAAGATGCTTTAAAAATTTGATGGGTTAGGGGCACCGGGTGGCTCAGTGGTTGAGCATCTGCCTTTGGCTCAGGTTGTCATCCTGGGGTCCTGCTTCTCCCTGTGCCTATGTCTCTGCCTTTCTCCTATGAATAAATAAATAAAATCTTGAAAAAAATTTGATGGGTTATACCAGGGATTCCCAATAAAGAGACACTGACATTGCAAAAGGCCACTTATATGGCTTCTGTTGACTGAGCAAATGAAGAATTCAAATATCTAACCATTAAGCCCCACACCTCATTCCTGACATTGCTGAATAAACGTAGGGTTATACATGTTACCTCATGGATCACATTCTTATCCAAAGGTAACCTACTTTCAGCAAGTCATTAAAGAGACGCAGGTACAACACTATAGCAGAAAGATCAAGGGATATTAAAAAGGGCGCGCGTGCGCGCGCGCACACACACACACACGCAGTATTCTGTGAGCCACATCCTCCTCTCACTTAGTAACATCTGTAACTGTAGCCTGTACTTATATACTGACATCATTACATGATATAAAGATGTTTTTAATGGAGTCACTCAAATTTATTGTATTTGTATAAGTTAGGTCTATAGATACTATAGGGGAAAAAGTCTGTATAGTCAGGTATAAACAGATTAATTTCAAATATACTGTTGATAAACACATTACTAAGTTTTCCTTATTTTTATAATAAAGAAAAGGGGGGGGATCACTACCTAAGTATCCTCTGCAAACAGTTTGAACAGAAAGTTTAAAGGGTAAAGGACACTGCATTACCACCAAGAGCTCAGAGTTAGGAATAGCTCAAGAAATAGATCCAATTCCTCACTCATGTGGGGGACAGTTGTGGATTTGCAAAAACAGTTCTATAATCAAGTCTCAAATCTTTCCCACCTGGAACAGCTGCTCAGCAAGGTCTTCAGGGCAGACTCAGAGAATCCAGAACACCCAGAAAGATTTAGTCGCACTAAATTTGAGTTTTGTGCAAGATTACTGGAAAAAGAGAAAAATGTCAGAGGAAGACACGGTTGTTCAATTCCTAAGCATTCTGAGGAAAGCAGGCTAGAGGAGTAGGTAGGTAAGCCCACAGCCTGCGAACCACAGGTGAGTTTCAGTTCATGTTTCACTCTCTGTATGGCACCAAGTGGGATGCTTTGCCTCAGTTTACTCATCTGTGCAATGGCAGAATCAGTACCTTCTTGGTAGGGTTGTTAAGATTAAATTATATACTGTGATAAAGAGCTCAGCATAGTGCCTGGCACAGAGTTAAGCACACAAGCAACACCTAGCAATGTAGTTTTTAAATTAAAAAAGAGTGCTGGAATAAACATTCTTTTTCTTTCACCCATAATTAGAATTAACTTCTAGGCACACTTCTACTTGTCAAGTCTCCAGGTTCTTCCAATGAAACATCGTTCAAATTTGCCCTCTCCTCTCCATTCCCAAATGCCTGTGTTAGTGGAACTCCGTGATTAAGAGAGTTCTGGAATCCTACTCTATTGCCAAGTTCAACTCCTGGTTTTGTCACCTCCTAACTGTGTGATCTTGGATAAGTTATCTCAGCCTCTTTGTGCCTCAGTTTCCATATCCATAAAAAGGGAACAATAAGAACTTACATCCTGGGTTGCTGTGAGAATTAATGTGATTACCTTTGAAGAACTTAGTATTTGGGACATAGTAAGTGCTCAGTAATGTTGGTAGTTATCATGATGATGATGATGGTTTTTTTTTTTTTTAACATCAGGTTTCATCATTTCTCACCTGAATGAACACAACAGCATCATAACTAGTCTAGTTTTTTCTACATCTGATTAACACTCAAAGGCACCCAGTAAGTACACTTTCTAATTTTCAACCCTGACATTAGTGCTTCCATTCTCAGGACCACTCTCTTTATCATGTTTCCCTCTTCAGAGCCTACCACGGAGTCTGGACCTCTTACAGCATGGCAGGGGCCCATTATGACCCGCTCCACACCTCCTGGCATCTCCTCACTGCACCATATGCTCTAGCAGTTTCTAACTACTTCAGAGTTTAGAACCACACAGGCAGCTTTACCCAGACAGCTTCTTTACCTCATCATGTGGAAATCTCCAACCTGAATATCTTCAATACTCAACTTAAGAGTCACTTCCTATGAGAAGGCTGCCCTCCTTCAATTAATTAGGTCTCTCTGTGGGATACCACATATTCACCAAAGCATGTAACAAACACTGTAATTATGTCTCCCCACGAGAGGCAGGGACCAGGTCTTTATTCATCATCCTTGTATGTCTAGAACGTAGCATAAGGCTTGGCATATAGTTAGCATGCAAACTTGGGTTGCCTGGATGAGTCCTGCAAAGTATGACAGAAGCTGGGGCACCCCACGGTTATGTTCTGAGTCTGTCTGGATATGAACAGAAGGGCACCCCAGTCACATTGAGGAAACAAAGTTAACTGACATAAAAACAACTGCCTTCATCACATGCCCCTGAGAGCCACTTACTTGACAATGGGGTCTGACAGCTGTAGGCCTTCCAGGCTTAGATTCTGCAACTTGGAGCACTGGGACAGAATGCCATGGAGGGTAGACACATCGATTACAGAGTTGGACAGATCCATGTGCTGCACACGGAAAGAGCTGAACAGAGGAGGGAAAAGAGAGGCTCTATGAGGTGGCTCCCACAAGTACCTCCAGATCAAATCCAATCCCCACTCCTCCCCAGATCAGCAGCCAATCATAAACATGACCCTAAATACACATTTCAAATAGTACTATAGTTTTAGTCTTACAATAAATTGCTACTAGGTAACTCCATCCCCTCAATCATTTTAAAATTCAGAAGGATTTCAGGGGGCACCTGGATGGCTCAGTCATTTAAGAGTCTGCCTTCAGCTCAGGTCACAATCTCAGGGTCCTGGGATCAAGCCCTACAACTCCCCCCTCTGCCTCTGCCAACCCCACCTCCCAATGACTTGCACTTCCTCATGCATGTGCCTCTCGTTCTCAAATAAATAAATAAAATTCAGGAGGATCTCTGCCAAGTCAAGATGGTACTGCCGATATGGCCCCACTTAGGAAATTAATTAGTGGGCATCAGGAGAATGAGCTAAATGTAGGTGACAAGAAGATTATGCCTATGAATCCTCTTGGCGAAGGCCAGTGAAAAAATTACTAAAACAGAAAGACAGTGGAAGAGCAAGCTAATATTGAGGTACCTGAAGGAAACGCAGGTGCAGAAGTTTCTAGGTAACTGGACCTAGGAGTTTGAAAGAGAGTGCTGAGCTAGGGGAGAGGATTTGAAAGTTCTGGCACATCTGTGTTTGTATAAGATAGCATGTCCAATGCCTGGGTATGGATCAAGAGAAGGCAGCCAGGGAGCAGGGACAGACCCCAGAATAGCAGAGGAAAGAGCACACATGAAGGGGACCCAGAAGGAACAGCCACAAGAGAAGGATAACCACTAGGGGAAGAGAAGTGCTGCCATATGACCATGGCAGGAAGGGGAAAGACCCAGGATGCATGTTTTGCCCTTAAGTCTGCTGTTTTTAGCTTATTTTTCTGTTCAGTATCTAGTTATTCCACTCCAGCTTGAGATGGCTCTAAACCATATTGCAAAACTATCAGTAACAGGGAAGTAGTTTTTCAAAATATTCCACAAAATAAACAAAAAGAGGGCATTCTTGCTCGGGCTGCAAATTTGTCCACCATAGGATTAGCTACCCAGAGCTACGAAATCTGAGAAGACTCCTCACACTTTGTCTTTATCAGAATGGGCAGTGTGGAAAGACCTAGGCGGGCTGCCTTACATCTGCTGGTGAGTGCTCCACCTGGCTTCTGCCTCAGGGGACTCATGATGCCCTTCCTCTGCAGACCCCACCTGAGAAGCAAAATGTGCATCCCTTACCCCCTGGAAGAGTCCAAGAGTAACCCTGATTTAAAGTGGGAATGGTGTCACTGAAAGCTGTGCCTTGTTTCAACACAAAGACCGCACAGGAAAATATGTAATTAACATTCCACTGCACAGGCTTGTCACAGGCTGTAAGGGTGGTTACAGGGGAAAAAAAAGTTTTGATCTGTTCTTTCTTTCTTTTTTTTAATTTTATTTACTTATTGATGAGAGACACGGGGGGAGGGGGAGAGAGAGGCAGAGACACAGGCAGAGGGAGAAGCAGGCTCCATGCAGGGAGCCGACGTGAGACTCGATCCCAGGTCTCCAGGATCACGCCCTGGGCTAAAGGCAGCACTAAACTGCTGAGCCACTGGGCTTCTCTTTGATCTGTTTCTACCTGAAGACTTAGAAAGTCTTTTCTGGCTTTTCTTTTTTTTTTTTTTTTTTCACCTGAAATGTTCAACCAATGGTTGATCCATAAATGATCGTGGGCAGCGGAAGGCAACTACTCCTCGAGACAGCAACCGGCCAATCACATCTGGGTGCAGGTTTCTACCTGTGAGGTCTAAGGTCTGCCACAGAGACTCGTCAAACCTGGAAAACAGGAAGTCCTCAGTAAGTTGGGGGCACTAGATCCTGGAGGGCCCCACCACTCAACAAGGAAGATACGGTCATTAAATAGCCCTGAACCAAATTCTGAAGGAAGCTTTGGTTTTGAGTTGACTAGACAACTAGCTATGGTATTTTTAAGACACAACTGTGTATTTCTTGCTCTATCACGGATAAGCTTCCACCTTCAGCTATACATGTGTGTACACACACACACACACACACACACACACACACACACACATTTGTATTTCCTTCAGGTGGTTCAATGCTATCATTACAATGTAATGATCTGGAATTACAGAATAAAACTTTAGTGTTCAACACAATTTAATAATTTTGAAAATGATTGCTCAAATCATTGAATTGATTACTGAATAGGTAGGTAGGTTCAAATGGTCTAAATGATCCCACTGGCTGTTTTTATTAAGCATAAATGAGTTACCACAATTACCTAAATACCATGTAAACAGAACAAAAAGGAGGAAAGGTAGCACTACAGCTGACCTTTGCATATGGGTTTGAACTGAGCAGGTTCACTTATATGCAGATTTTTTACAGTACTGTAAATGAACTTTTAACTCCTTATGATTTTTTTTTAAAGATTTATTTACTTATTATGATAGACACACACACACACACAGAGATTGAGATTGGCAGAGACACAGGAGGAGAGAGAAGCAGGCTCCATGCCAGGAGCCTGACGTGGGACTCGATCTTGGGACCCCAGGATCACGCCCTGGGCCAAAGGCAGGCGCCAAACCGCTGAGCCACCCAGGGATCCCTTCCTTATGATTTTCTTAATAACATTTTCTTCTCCCTAACTTACTTTACTATAAAAATAAGAGTATAAAATACATATAACATACAAGATCTGGGTTAATTGCTTATGTTTTGGCTTAGGCTTCCAGGAAACAGTAATCTGTTAGTAGTTAAGTTTTTGGGGAGTCAAAAGTCCTACTAAGTGGATTTTCAACTGAGCAGGTGCCCCCTAATCCAGGCACCAGGTTGTTCAAGGGTCAACTATATACTTCATTAAGAAATAGCACTATCAAATGTCTATTAGGAAGAATGAACCCTACAAAGGAGTTCGGCTATTATACCCTTTAAGCTTGAAAACAAATGTATATACATGCATAGAAATATATGTATATGTATGAACTACTGTGCAAGGAAAAAGGAAAAACATTGCATAGATTTTAGACAGTGTTTGTAAAGCAAAAATGAAGTCCTCAAAGGTATTAAACAGGACAGTAAGGGACCTTTCACAGCCACAGATTAATTCAACTTAACAAAAAAAAGAAAACATAAGATCAAGCACAGAGGGAACATTTTAAATGCCTACGAGAATTTTATTTTTTGATACTGCTTGAAATAAGCAGACAACTGGCAGGGCTTTGAAATAACTCTGCATAAAGAAACGGTCAATGTGTGGTGTGACCTCTATTATCAAGAAGGCAGGGCTTCATAGATGCCGGCTATTATTTGTATGACACCTGAGATGAACATTAACAGACTCTGCGCAAGGAGGACAACTGGCTGAAAGAGAAAATCACTATGGGGTCACTGGGGGCGGGATCAGCGCAACCACCACTCCGTGTGTGCATACCTCCCCAGGGCTCTTCTCAGCAAAGAGCCCACTCCTGCAAATGCCTGCCGTGTCTTATGGCCCACACAGCCCTGAATGGGGAGGGGAAGGAGCTCTTGCCCTCTCAGTGAGAGCCCTAGATACATGGAGGGAGACGAGAAACACATGCCTGTAAGCAAAAAGGATGGCTCGTGGTGGGCTGGAAGATGACAAGTGGTACAGAGGGAAAAAAGTTCAAAATGAAAAACAAAGTCTTCCCCCCAACCCCATCCCTGCTAGCCTGTTACTGCCTTCCAGCACACCGAGACGTTGCATATGCAGCTCTCACTGTGCAAACCTGAAAGCGGTGCCCCCAACCTGCCATGTGCTGCACGCTTCCATGAGCCAGCCAGCATCTTCCTATTTCACCCTTAAACTGTCCTGTCTGGAAGGTACTATGATCTTCACGGTATATACGGGTGGATGGAGGCTCAGAAGTGTCAAGTACGTCCCCAGGTCATATAGAGCATTAAGTGGCAGAGAATGGTTCACAATGGGCTCAGATACTGGGGCCTGCCTATGCTCCCCACCGTGCTCCCTGCCCCGACCCCATGTGTGAGGACTGGTGTGAAGAGTGGCCAGGCCTTTATGCAGCCCTGTGGCCCCCCACTTCTAGTGCTCCATTGCCTGGTCCAGAGTCAGCATCCAATAAGCACAGAAATACAGAAAAAAGAAGTTGGCAGAGGTGGGTAAGTTTACACCTCCAGGGGCCTCCTCCCTTCCACCTGAAATGACGACCTTGATGGTTAATAAAAATACGAAGACACCTAGTCTGCCCTGTGCTACTACATTTTTCTCGGTGTTTAGTTTCACTAGGCCCACATGAATACATACATAACCTTCCCCTTCTCCCACGCAAATGCCAAAAGAGGGCAGCCCGGGTGGCTCAGCGGTTTAGTGCCGCCTTCTGCCCAGGGTGTGATCCTGGAGACCCGGGATCCAGTTGCACGTCGGGCTCCCTGCATGGAGCCTGCTTCTCCCTCTGCCTGTGTCTCTCATGAATAAATAAACAAAATCTTAAAAAAAAAAACAAAAACCAAAAATGCCAAGAGAGGTGAAAAATACTTACGCTAGGTGATACCACCTCTTACAAACACTGGAGACCTTCAGGAGTTCAGGGAGGCACAGACAGGAAAAGATTCCTAAGAGCAGCTCATCTGGAAGTGAGTCCCAGGAAACACCTTTAAGGGAGGGAAAACATAAATGTGTTTTCTCATCGTCGTTCTTTTACCCGATCAAGTCTACTGAGTCTTTTCACGCACGTCAAGGATACACAATATTAGAAGGGGAATGTAACACTAATCGAATGACTCATCCCACCATTGTTTTTCTGTTCATCTGCGGTCAGCACAGCAGTTTCCCAGCAAAGGAGAAGAGACAAAACCAAGAACACTCTTCCAATCGTTTTTGCCTTCAGCACCAGCCGACCACCCTTAGGCAGACACTATGTTAACGGGTGGTCCAGAGCAAGTCCCCATCCCCTCAAGTAGCATACATACAACAGTGTCTAAGGCAGGATGCCTCTGGTGGCTGGGAAATGTCTCATTTCTCTCAGAAGTGGATTGGGGGTGATTTACCCTGTAGTGACCTTATCTAAAAGGCAAATTCTCCTTTTTCTTTCAGATTTCAGATTTAAGCACTCAAGTCAATTGGCCTGGCCAAACAAGTGCAATACCCAATGGGAGCTTTCATGTACCTCTCTACTTACTATGCTGCCAGGAGGCACTTTGGGTGTTGGGGGGGAGGTGGGAGAGCAAGAGATCAGACAAAGCACTTTAGCTTCGTGGAGCTTACAGTCTAGTGACAGGAAATGATCACATATAAAAAAAAAAAACAAGTAAATTATGTGATACATAAAAACTGAATAGTGCCATGCAGAAAAACTGAGCAGGGTAAAGGAGAGGATAGGAAGTAAGGGGGCCAGTGTTCCAAATCTCAACACAGCAGTCAAGGAAGGCCTTACTGAGAGTGATCTCCAAGCAAAGGCTTGAGAAAGTGAGGGAGCCAGCCCTGTGAGTACCCGCAGTGTGTTCTAGATACAGGGAACAGCATGTCTGTTTTGAGGAACAGCAAGGTCAGTGTAGAAAAAAGAGTGAGCAGGAGGTGACAGAAGATGAGGTAGAGAAGCAAGAGGGGCCGGGTCACGCAGGACCTTGTAAATCATGATGAGGACTTCGGCTTTGACTCTGAATGTCACGCGGAACCACTAGAGGGTTCTGAGCATAGAAAGTTCTAAAAGTACTGTTCGGGCTGCTGTGTTAAAAATAAAAAACTGGTAGGGGAAAAAAGGTAGATACAATTAAGATCAGTTTTTTTTTGTCTTACAAAAGCAATTTCCAAATAGAATTCTCACATATGAACATACACAGAATAACCCACAAGAGCAGGATAATAGGATGATGGCCCTAGGATAAGAAGAGTAAGTACTTAGACTAGTTCAGTAACTCACCTTCCCACCCTCTGCCCCCAATTGCACTTATACAACAAGCCTAATGCTAGCCTCTCCCCTCTGTGATGGTTCACTTTACGTGTCAACCTCACTGGGTCGAGGGGTACCCTGAGATCTGTCTCGACACTATTCTAGGTGTGTCTGGGTTACTGCAGAAGATGAACGTGTGTCTGTCCACTGAGAAATGCAAACTCCCTTCTCCAAGGCCTGATGGGAACTAAAGGCAGATGAAGGGAGAATTGGCTTTTTCCCTGCCTTTGAGCTGGGACGTGGATCTCCTCCTGCCTTCAGAACTGGACTGGTACTTAACCGTCTGCTCTCCTGGTTCCCAGGCCTTTGGACTGTGGACCTTGGGACTTTTCAGCTTCCATAACTATGTGAGCCAATTCCTTGGAATAAGTCTCCCTATGTCTCCTACGTCTCTGGGGAACCCTGGTTATAACACACTGTCCCTTCCCAGCTAAAAGCTTGAGTCAGTATTCGCTGCACAGGTACACTGAACCAGGCTCTGTGGAGAACATGATGGAGAAAAGCCTTGAGGAGGGTGAAAAACATAGCACTTGCTGCCTCTGGGTGGTACTCTTGGCAATCTTTCTAAAAGAATCATGCCCTTCCCTCAATCAGAACCTTTCAGGAGTGCTCCCCAAACATGCAGCCTGAAGTCCAAAGTACTTGGCATGAAATTCAAAGCTTCCATGGCAGGGCCCCCACTCATTTTTCTAAGTTCATTATCTAGAAATATGTTCCAGCCATTTGGACCTACTTGTAATTCTCCGAATGAGTCATTCTGTGCCACATCTCAATGGCCCTGTACACACTGTGCCTGCCTCTCACTGCTATTAATTTAAAATCAAGTTGCTGTTAAAGCCCCAGTGCCTATGGAAGGCTTCCCATGACATCACCAAGAGTAGGTCACCTTTCTTTAAACCACAGTTGTATTATCGACTTACTCATCTGTTTAGCCTCTGCCCTTGCTGGGGCCCTGAGTTCTTGAGAACAAAAATATGATTTTTCTATTAATAATCTTTGTATTTCCAGGAACTAGCACAATGTCTGATACGTTCATCCATGCATGTTTTTATTGAACATGTAGTATATGCAGGTGTCTGTTCTACAAAGATGAATAAGGGATGGCCAGCTCAGAGTCAGAGACACAAACAGGACATTTCAGTAAAGTATCATAATGGGCTGCAAGAGGGTTCATGGTGCGGTGTTGTGCAGGGTACGATGGTAGAGCAGTGATCAGGGAAGCCTTCCTGGAAGAAATGACCTCTATTGAAAAATGAGGAGATACACAGCTGCTCAATGAATGCCCTACTCTCTGGAGGACAAAATGAATCACTGTAGCCCTGAAACCAGGGGTAAACAGGTGAAGGCAGATCCCCCATGCTGACCCTGGACCAGGAGCTGGGGAGGCAGCCAGAGATGACCCTGAACCCTGAACCATGTCAGTGTGGCAACAACCCTCCATCACCACAACAAGGCTCCTCCAAGGTCAGCGTGGAGGACGGAGGTTCTCAAACAGGGCTCTTGCCCTGCTTCCCAAACTGGGAAAAAGTTGATAGATATGCTTTTCTTGAGTTTTCCTTCCATTAATTCTTAACTCCCTGACCTCTGCTGCCTCTTGCCCCTGTAGATCAGATTTTAGCATTTGATTTGGCAAAAGATGACACAGTTATTTTGAGTCTAGTATGCTGAGACTGCACTACGATCCATAAGCCCATCGGGACACCAGGTGCTTGGCCTCTCCCAGTGAGAACTGCGGGAAACAGCCACAGCTTCTATGGGAATGTCCTGCGGGTGCCCCAAGGCTGTGAAGCTTGGGCAAGTCACCCAATTCCTCGGACTCGGTTTCTTCATCTGCAGAGAATGGGAATAAAGGGATTTATTTTGCCAAGTTTTTCCCTGTGAAGACTAAACAATGTTAAGGGAAGGGACCAAGCAGCAGAGTCAAACTTCCCTTCTCCTTCTTGACTCTATTTCTCTCCTCTCTTTAAATCTGCGCCTTCGCCTTTTGTGAGGATCTCTTCTTTTCAGTGCTGCTTGGAATCTTCACCTCTCTGAAAACACACTAGGTTTTAACAGGGTTGGGACAAGGGCTATGTGGTGTGACTTCCCAAGAGCCCCAAAGAGCACTCTATCTAAGTTTAGGATCTCCAGGAGCAGATCCAGAGGACTTGAATTCAAATAGTTTATTGGGTAAGTAATCCCAGGAAGTATGGGAGAGTGAAGAGACATGGAAGGGAAGGAAGCTGACTTGGGGTATTTGAATAAGCAGGTTATCACCATGGCCAAGTGGAGTTCAAGTCTGCTGGGGACTCCAGGAGACGCCACAGCACCTGCCCCAGAGCTGTCCCAGCTAAGGGCACGGGTGGTGGGGTATTAACCCACCAACAACTGTCAGTCACTGGGTGAGGACATCAGGGAGCAGGGCAGGAATGTTTACTCCCCACATGCCTGCCCAGAGAGAGGTGTCAGGCAGTCCCATCTGCATACAGGGGAAAGCCTTCAGTATTTTTTTTTAAAGATTTTTTTATTTATTCATGAGAGACAGAGAGAGAGAGAGAGAGAGAGAGAGAGAGAGACTCAGAGACACAGGCAGAGGGAGAAACAGGCTCCATGAAGGGAGCCCGATGTGGGACTCGATCCTGGGTCCTCAGGATCAGGCCCTGGGCTGAAGGCAGCACTAAACCGCTGAGCCACCCGGGCTGCCTAAGTCTTCGGTATTTAAAAGAGTGCTCAGTTTCAAGGGACTATGGACAGGGGGGGCATGTGTCCACTCAAAATGGTGGGAAAAGAAATTAGGGACGCTTGTAGTGAAGGGCAGGGCTGGAGAAATGAATTAACTCACCTTGGGCTTATTTTGTTGGGTACACATAAGGCATCAGAATCAATGAGAACAAGGGGATCTCTGGGTGCTCAGTGCTTTGGCGTCTGCCTTTGGTCCAGGGCCTGATCCTGGAGACCTGGGATCGAGTCCCTCGTCAGGCTCCCTGCATGGAGCCTGCTTCTCCCTCTGCCTGTGTCTCTGCCTCTCTCTCTCTCTCTCTCTGTCTCTCATGAATAAATGAATAAAATCTTAAAAAAAAGAAAAGAAAGAAACAAACAAACAAACAATGAGAACAAGATGAGCTAGGTAATGAAAATGCTAGGAGGAAAACTAGTCCCAGCGATGAAGGCAGAGGTTTGCAGAAGACACCGAAGCCAGGCACCGAACCCACGCCAGTAAGGTAACACGAGAATGAGGAGCGCCTTGTATTGCGACTTCCATCTTCATCCGTCCCAACTCCTACTCGTTCATCCTTCGGATCTCAGCTTAAATGTCACCCCCTCAGAGGAGTTTTCCCCGACCACTGCAGCCCCCAGATCCAGATCTGCATACCCAGCACACAGCACAATACCCGGCCCATAGGCATCAATATAGGGCTAGATCTAGTATACCTTTTACTTTCCCTTCATGCAATCTGCCAATGTGCTAATTTTGTATTTGTGTGACTGGTCAACCTTTGCTAACCTATAACTCTTACACACCCAGCCCCTAGGGGAGAGCCTGGCAACGAGTATCAGAAAATGCTCAACTGATATTTCACAAAGGAATGACTGACACCCAAGAGAAGAATGCTGGCTTTATTCTATAGACAGTCAAGACTGCTGCCTCTTTGAACCAGCCAGCTTCCTCATTTGCAGAATGATAAGGCTGGCCTAGGGCTCCGCTTCAACACACATTCCTGG